TGGCACCCAGCGAGCCCCGACCCCAGTGGTACCCGAAGAGCCCCTTCCCCAACCCCCAGTGGCCCTGCAGAGCCCCAACACCAGTGGCACCCGGGGAGCCCCTTCCCCTTCCCCGATGGCACCCAGGGAGCCCCTTCCCCGACCCCAGTGGCACCCGGAGAGCCCCCTCCCCAACCCTGCAACACTGGGGGCTGTTAGGGGACGGGTCCCCTCCCCAGCTTTGGGGAGTGAGCTGCTGGGGCCCAGCTCAGGGTGACCATAAAGGTGTTTTTCAGCATTTCTCCCAAATTCGCATGCCCCAAGAAACCAAACCCTGACAAATCCCCAACCCCTGGCGCTACCCTTCATGCCTACCACCACATGCTTTTAATACAGCGTAACCCTTTTTTTTTTTTCCCCCCTTACGTCCCTGCCTTCGTTAACGGGTCTGCATTAAAGCCAAAAGTGAATTACTCTTCGTGTAACTGCAGGCAAGCAGGAAAAAGCAATGGACGTTAAAGGAGATACAGAGAATCACAGAATCATGGAATGGTTTGGGTGGGAAGGGACCCCCAGAGGTCACCCAGCCCAACCCCCCTGCAGGAGCAGGGACACCTTGAACCACATCAGGTTGCTCACAGCCCCGGCCAACCTGGCCTGGAATGTTCCCAGGGATGGGGCCCCCACCCCCTCTCGGGGCAACCCCTGCCAGGGTTTCACTATGAATGGATGTTGGATAAACTCCTGTTAGCTGCGGGAGAAGCCTGGTATTTACCTGGCTCTTCCCGGAGCGTGCACGGGGGGAAAAAAAAGAAAAAAAGTAAAAAATGCCGGAACCTTGCATTTGAGTACTGATGCTCAGCTGGAGACCGAGATGGGATGAGGTGGGACCTGTGCTCTCCGTGTCGCCTTTGGCCTGTCCCTCCGTTTGGCCCGGGCTGAACGTGTCGCTAAAGCGGCCAAGGGGAGCTGCGCCTCTTTCGGGCCAAGAGTCCGATAATAGAAACGCTGGTTTGTGTCGAATGTTACTCAAAATAACGTTCTTCTGAATAATTTGGGATGCCCCTTATGTAAGCATGGGTGGTGCTTTCCTGCTTGGCGTGTCCTGGATTCTCTCTTGCGTGAGCTTCCGAGCGAGCAGCCCCTGCTTTTAAAGCCGTGAAAACACGCCGTGAGCGCCGCTGCGTTGGTCACGCCGGGCTTGCTGCGTCACCGCAAGGCGAGTGTTCAGCAAGGGTGGCAGCGGGATTCTCCCGCAGAGCCTCAGCTGCCTAAATTGTGTCTTCTAGCAAGGAGAGGCTGTGAACGGGAGCTGAACTTGGCGCTTCTCTTTACGCTTGCTTTCCGAAGCGGAGGGAGCGTTTGTGTGCCACAGGCGGCCGCGCGGCTCCCCCCCATCGCCGGGCTTTCGGTGGGGCATTTCGGGGGCACCCCCTGAGCATCCCCTTAGGGGTGCTGAGCTCAGGGGGTGGCTTTGGTGTTGTGGCTCTGCTGCCAGCCCCCCCGCCAGAAGGAGAGAGGTGCCTGGAGGAGCCCGGTGGGTACGTCCAGCTGTGCAGCCCTGCGGGCTACTGCTCTGCTGCTGCTGGTTGCCCAGCTGGGGAAGGCAGGACCCTCCCAAGGACTTCTGCCTCCCTGCCCAGGGCTGGCAGGTTGGGTTAGAGAGCCGTGCCTGTTATCACTGGCTTCTCCTGGCTCAGCTGCTTCAGAGCTGGAAAACATTTCCATGCCAGGACTTGTCCCCTGGGGGCGAGGGGAGGTTTCAGCCTGAACCAGCCGGGCAGAAAGGAGAATTGATCCTGGGCTGCCTTTGTGTTGGGTGACTCAGGAGCTGCTAGATTGCAGGCAGGAGGGAAACCAGCAGCCTGCAAGCCAGAACAAACTTTGTTTAACCCCTCGTAGGGTTGGTGGGAACCGTTCTCTGTACCCATGGCAAAGCTCTCCTGTGCCGTGGCTGCAGGCGTCGGGGATTTCTGCTTTACCTTCCAGCCTGGACAAACCCTGGCACTGTGAAATCAGGGGCTGACACTCGGAGCGAGTGGTTCTTTTTGCCCGAGGTCAAAGCCCTGGAGGGTTGTATGTGGATATCCAGCTCCTCTTCACTATTCCAGTAGCAGCTGTGGTAGAAAAGGCAGCTTGCTCCTGTGCGACCTGATTTTCTTTCCCATGTTCAGAACAGACCAGCTCGGCGATGGCCAGGGATGCGGCATCTGCTGATGCTCCTGACCTTTGGAAGGTGGAGAAGAGTAAAAAGTACAGTGATGAGAGTCCTTGCTTTATCGCTCTTTGAATTTGTAAATCACCTAAGACTCAGAGTTCAAAGCAGCAGCCCCGGGGCGCTTAAAGCTCACGTGTGAAACGTCTTTACACTTATTTCATTTCTAGTTTAGCCTCCCGTTGTTGCCTGCCCGGGACATGCGGCGATGGTGTTCGGGGAGGTCTCTGGTGCGGGTGAGCCGCTGCGGACCCCCGGGGCGGTCTGGAGAACCAGCTGCGTGCGGGCGCTCTGTGGGAGCGGCGTTCCCTCTCCGTCGCAGCAATGGACGTTTCAAGTTGCCTAATTATCTTTTATTAGAAAAGCTAAGAAAACGTGCGAGCCTGAGCCCACCTCCTGGGATAACTCAAGGATAGGACGATGGTTTGAAATTAAACCAGGGTAGATTTAGACTGGGTCTAAGGAAGAAATTCTTCACAGTGAGGGTGGTGAAACCCTGGCAGGGGTTGCCCCGAGAGGGGGTGGAGGCCCCATCCCTGGGAACATTCCAGGCCAGGTTGGACGGGGCTGTGAGCAACCTGATGTGGTTCAAGGTGTCCCTGCTCCTGCAGGGGGGTTGGGCTGGGTGACCTCTGGGGGTCCCTTCCCACCCAAAACATTCTGTGATTCTGTTCTGTTCTATCCTGAGGCGAAACCTACCCGTTCCGATTGTTCCATGTAACTCGTAGTACTTGAGAATTGCCTCATAGTCAAGGCTGGACATTAGGAAAAACTTCTTCCCCGAAAGGGCTGTCAGGCTCTGGAATGGGCTGCCCAGGGAGGTGGTCGAGTCCCCATCCCTGGGGGGATTTAAAAGAAGGATGGATGAGGTGCTGAGGGACAGGGTTTAGTGGTGGGATGGCAGGGTTAGGTTAAAGGTTGGACTCGATGATCTCAAAGGGCTTTTCCAACCAAAGTGATTCTATGATTCTAAGGAGCACGAGGGCTTGGCCTGCGGTGTCAGCATGGCGTGGGCAAACTGCAGGAGCCCTTCAGCTTCGGTGTTTTAAAAGAAATGCATTTTAAAATGAACTATTAGTGTAAATTATTGCTAAGCTTTGCAAAGCACAGCCACCTCTTGTCACCATGAGCCCATCCTCACCCTCCGTGCTCTGGAGGTGGCTTTCTTAGTCCCCTGTGCTGACCTTAATTAGTTCCAGACCCTTCCAACATGCTCATTAGGAACCAGCTGGTCTGACGGGCAGCTGGGAGCTGCTGACTCCTGGGGCAGGGCTGGGAGCCGGGCGCTCGCTTCAGAGCCACGCAGCTGACACTGGATGTCACCATTGCACAGCGCAAACCTAACAGAGGGGCTCGGGACTTTATTCCGATACGGAGAGAAAAAGCCGTATCTCGTGTCTCCCACCTACCCACCCCCTGGTCGTTTTTATTTTTTCCCTGAGGGCTATGATACCATTCAAGCTTTGCGCTGCTGCTTGCGTCTACGCAGGACGGGGGTAATCCCCCTGAACCTGATTAAAGCCACTCCTGCTCCGGCGTAGTCGTTGGGAATGCGGAGCCAAGCGGGGACTGAATTCCATGGTGGCAGTGGGATTAGGAAAAATTCCTTCCTTGAAATGGTTCTCAAGCACTGGAAGGGGCTGCCCAGGGAAGGGGTCGAGTCCCCAGCCCTGGGGGGATTTAACAGCCGGGCAGCCGAGGTGCTGAGGGCCAGGGTTTGGGGGTGGGATGGCAGGGGTAGGGGAGCGGTTGGGCTGGGGGAGCTGAAAGGGCTTTTCCAACCCAAACGATTCCATGATTCTGTGACTGAGTCCTCCTGGGATGTGAGGGAGCTCGGGCAGGCGCACGGCATGCAAACTGTCATGGCTCTTTTGCCCCCCCCGTTTTATTTATTGAAATTATTTATTGAAAGCCATAGGTGCACGGGTGGCCCGGCCACCCCGGGGAGGTGCCCTCCGATGGAGGAGCTGCTCCCTGCAGACGGGGGTGCCCAGCCCAGCCCAGCTTCCCTCTGATGGAAGGGCAGAAGCAATGGCCATCTCTTTTTCTAGCGGTTCTCAGAGCACCAGGATCCAGCTCCAGGCCAGAGCGCTGGATCTGGCAGGCGACCACCATGGGCTACAGCCATGGGTTTTGGGGGACACCCTGACATGTGAGATGGAGCGGCTGAGGGAACTGGGGTGTTTAGCCTGGAGCAGAGGAAAAACTTCTTCACCGAAAGGGCTGGAAGGGGCTGGCCAGGGAAGGGGTCGAGTCCCCAGCCCTAGGGGGATTTAACAGCTGGGCAGCCGAGGTGCTGAGGGCCAGGGTTTAGTGGTGGGATGGCAGGGGTAGGGGAACGGTTGGGCTGGGGGAGCTGAAAGGGCTTTGCCAACCTAAACGATTCCCTGATTCTATGATTGCTGTGGGCAGTAATTGGGTTTGATTTATAAACTTTGCAGGTAGATGGCAAAAGTTGTTCTTAAACTGCATGCAGGTGCGAGTTATTCACTTATTTTCTGCCTGGCCGTGTGTTTTCTGAAATAATACAGGGTTGGGGTGCAGGTTGCTAGTAAAAAGTCATCGAGATCTTCAGGGAAAATGATGGGTGAATATATATCTCTTCCCATCCATTAAAAACACCAAATAAATCAGGTGTCTGCTTTTTTTTTTTTTTTAAAAAGTGGTCCTTAATGTTTGGTGCTTCAGGCTGGCCATGCCTGCTGGGCTCCGGCATGTCCCTAAAGCTGAACTGGAATGAAATGGGATGGAATACTGGAATTATTCTCCGCCTTTGCATAATGAAACAAGCCCCTCTCTTCTCTCGCTTGCACAGAGCAGAGAAACGCGCGGATCGTGATGACTACCCTGCTGCTCACTGAGCAAATAACACAAGAAGACCACGGCTCGGAGGGAAACTACGTCCTTTATGGCTCCTCTTGTGCCCAAATCACCGAGGAAGCTGAATACGTGAAAAAGGTATTTCTGTCGCTGTTCCGTTCCTTTCTTTGCTTCGGCAGGAAACACGGTGGGCAAAACTGAAAGAGAAAACTGTGACCCGTATGGCAACAGGCTCTTGGCAAACCTTCTGATTTACCCATCGACTCTAGAAACGCTGTTCGCGCCGCAGTAGTGACTTAACGACAGCGTACGCTGCCTTAGGTTGGCGTAAACCACTTGAAAAGTAGTGAGGTTTTTCCACCCCTCCTTTAGGACTCTTGCAAGGGACGCTCAAGTGCGTTGTCCCCACCCCAAGTCA